AACTAACCCTAACTAACCCTAACTAACCCTAACTAACCCTAACTAACCCTAACTAACCCTAACTAACCCTAACTAACCCTAACTAACCCTAACTAACCCTAACTAACCCTACTCACCCTAACTAACCCTAACTAACCCTAACTAACCCTAACTAACCCTAACTAACCCTAACTAACCCTAACCCTAACTAACCCTAACTAACCCTAACTAACCCTAACTAACCCTAACTAACCCTAACTAACCCTAACTAACCCTAACTAACCCTAACTAACCCTAACTAACTAACCCTAACTAACCCTAACTCCTCGGAGTTTGGGCGGGTGTTAGGAGTTTACGGGGTTAACGGGGATAGGGAGATATGTCAGCATGACGTGTGTCGGCGTTAACGGCCTAACGTTACGCCGAATCGGCGATAAGACGCGGCGGGACTTTGGCCCGCAACCTAACCCTAGGTAACCCTAGGTAACCCTAGGGTCACGCGCTCTCACTCGATGTCTGGCGGTATTCTTATATATACCGCCCTCGCTACTGGCACTGAAGAGCTCATCATCAAAGCGAAACCTGAAGCGATAGCCTGCCTACCTTCTTGTCTGCCTCCTTGACGATTCTCTTCTCGATAATTTACGTTCCATTTCACCCTAACTAACCCTTACGACTATCACCATGTCCACTTCTGCCTCCTCCGCCGTTCCCACCGACCTCCCTATCTTCGGATCTGTTAAGCAACGAACTAGACGACCTGTCAGTTCGGAAAGTCTTCATGGATTTGGTCACTTAACCCTTGACGGTCCCTCCCACCTCATGGGCTCCATTCCCACCCCCTCCAACGAGCTACACTGGCGAGAAATGATCGCAGACGCCTATCTAGCTACGACCTGTGGAGAGGAAAGCGCCTACGAACACTATCAACGTGCGTTAGCCGCTTACATGTCCTCCCGACCCCCTATTGAACGAATGGAGGACATCAAAAAACTTCTCCACCCTACCTTCCGACTCCGATTATTTGACGAGTTATCTCTGCTGCACACCACAGCGGTTAAGTTAGTTGGGGTAGAGCAAGCCATACGTTCCCTGGAGAAAAACAAATTCGAGAAGAAATTCCCGACCGTACTGAACCCCGTTGCGAAAGCCAAAGTCCGTACGCAGTTTACCTCCTTGTATCCCGCCGAAATGCAACAATCGGCAAACAATCGGATTGCTGTTCTACAATCCGAAATGGCTAGTAAACTTCTGGATGAGATCATCACTCAGAAAAGAGGAGAGAAAGCCCACCTTGATGGGTTGTTAGCTAGGGAATCCTATGAGAAACGTCTTCGTGACGCTATCAGCCGGGACTACCAAGCTGCCAAGGTCCGATATGGGGAACGCCCCCAGGCTGAGGATGTTGACATGACCGTCGGTGATCAACCCACAGAGGCGAGAGCCCAGCGGGATAACGCCGGCGACATTAAAGCTCCTGAGTTTTTGTCGGTAGAAAGGGATGCTGCCTTTGGGCTGGCACCTTTATTGGCAATCCGAGTGCTAGAGATGGCTCGGATAAAACAATCCAACAAGGATTATGTTCTTGAGAAGAAAATCTCTCTCAAAGAACGAACTGTCTTGAAGGTTGGCCAAGAAGCGCCGGAGTCTGAAGAGGCCCGGTTGAAAAGACTGATTAAGTCGCTTCTGCCTAAAGACATGGCTAAGCCAAAAAATCGGTCCAATAAACGCAAGGTAGGAGGGTCCCCATGCCCGAAAAACTCGATTTACCTATCTAACCGCGATCTAGGGAAAAACCGCCCCCAAGGTGAAAGCTCCGGCCAAACCTCAGGGAATAAAAAAGACGCAGAAGACTCGGAAACCTACTGCGCCGACTACGAAGAAGACGACTCAGAAACGGGTCGCATCCTCCACCGTCGTAAAAGGGCCAGGGAAGAAGGCGAAGGTTTAAAGTTGTTAGCTACAAACTTTAACTATGATAAGCCGTCTTCCTATCCGGGTACGTTATTAAATCTCCCCTCCCATTTGCAAACAGATATCTTGGTCGCGAAAGCTAATACCGAAAGGTTTTCAGCCCTTCGCAGGTTTTGGCCGGATCCTCATGTGCAAACCGGGCTTTCTGTCCCAGATTGGGTCAGATATGAGTTAGGGGTTAATTTAAAATATCTGTATCCTATCTCGTTTAATAAAAAATTAATCTCCATTGCATTTGATGAATTTAAATATTCACTACGTTGGAAATATTTTTGGTTTAACCGTGATAAAAACAATGATGAACCATGGAACCCGGAATTCTCCTTTACTAAAGTAAAAAAGAATCCACCGAAAATGAGTAACACACTTGAGAGTAGACTTGCATGTGGTGAGCTTTCCCTTCACGGGGATTACGCTGGGCCCGTAAGATCCAATACCTTACATCGGGACCGTCGCCCCCGATGGAAAGAACTCTCTGAATTCCTAGAAAGTCAAAAAATGATGATCAAAGGAACGGACAAAAACCTTGGGCCTGTTATCTTTTCGCGCGACTGGTACATAAGCGAAGTGGAGAAATTCCTCGCTGACGGCCAAAACTACCGGAAATTAGAAGTTGGATGGGCAGGGGACCCTGGTCCCACCTCGCTGTTATACAACGAGGATCACCCGATCAACGGAAGATTCAAGTGGTTGGCCAATACCATCCATGAAGTAAGGCGTGATCTTACCCACATCACACAAAGCCTTAACGACGTAACCACCAAGCAAGAAAAGGAATACCTTGAACGGTGGAACTTGCAATTTGACATCCCACGATTTCACGGCATCCCAAAGATCCATAAGAAACCATGGGCTATTCGTCCTATTGCGCCCGGACACTCCTGGGTTACGTCCCCTCTTGCTAAATGGGTACAGGTTAAAATAGCCGGTGCCGCTAAGGCAACACCATGGATTGTTCAATCAACCAAGGATGTTGCGGCGCTACTACGCGAGGCTGTTATCCCTGACCGCCGGACCCGCCGTAAAATGTTCGTATGTACAGGTGACGTAGTCGCCATGTACCCGAACATCCCTGCAGACGCACACTCTATTGTCGCTGCATGGTTTGCGGATCATCCGACGCACCTAGATCCCGTTCTGAACGATAACGTTCATCTATTGCAAAATGCCATGCGAATTATCAACCAATATGGGGTGGTTGAGTTCAATGGCTCGTTCTATTCGCAGCTCAAAGGATTAGCGATGGGAGCTGCCTGCTCCCCTGATATCGCAAACATTTATGCTGCATACTACGAAGAACAAAACGTTAATTTTAACGTGCAAACGTTCGAGCACAATAATCCAATTAAGATTTATTGTCGCTATATCGACGATTGTTTAGCTATAATCGAGGCCGACTCTGCGGAGCATTGTTGGGCAATCCTCGGCAAACATAATCTCGGACCGGTACTCCGCACCGAATGGTCCGTGGTTGGTGAAGGCGAGGGACCTAGTCCATTCCTCGATTTAGAAATCGATATTCTTTCCGGTAGCACACTTGACTTTAAACTTTACCGGAAACCCTTCAACCACTTCATGCGTATACCATGGGAAAGCGCTCACCCGACGCAAGTCAAGAAATCCGGATTTCAGGGTGAACTTACCCGGATAGCCACCTGCTCGTCTAGACGCGAATTCTACGACCAGTCAGTAGCAGAGTACATGGAACTACTCATTGCGCGGGGCTATCCACGTCAAGTCCTTCTTGCTTGGAAGGAACAGGAAGTCGAGAAACGTTGGTGTCTCGCCGTATTACCAAAAGTCGATCCAAAGGCTCACTCCTATGCGGTTCTCAAAACTTCCTACAACGACGTATGGTGCAACGTTAACGTTGCCTCCTTTAAGACGGCGATTATCAATGGAGCGATTGAGGCTGGAGCACTTTCTACGAAAGATGCATTATTCCTAGAGTCCATTCGCGACACAAGATTCCTTATATCGTATAAGCGCACACGAAATCTGTCTGACGACGTGAACGCGCTTAACGTCCAGATGTCTAGAATTGATCCTGAATCATTCAATGACTTCGTTACGAGTGGTGCATTCGACCTCTCCAAAGTTCTGTCTGTACAACGTGCGTACAACGAACAAACCGATGATGACGACTCGTCATTCAATTCTTCTTCGGGAGAACTTTGAATTGTCAAAATACGAACCAATGTTCCTTAGAGACTACTGCTTGCAGTAGGACGCGTCCCTTAGTCCAACGTGACATCGAAGCGGTTTTCGGATCGTGGAAATGTTGTTGGATGTCTGACGGAACGCAAGGACCCATGGCCAGGATCGAGGTTGTTATCTCGTGAAACGCTTAAGGTCCTCTGAACACTGTAGTAAGATTTTGGCTGGCTATGTTAGCAACCTGTTATTTAGTTCCGAAGATGCCATCACGACGGACGCCCCCTTGCGGGAAACGTTGTCGTGCGCTGGCACTTCAATGGGTAAAACCTTATCACTATCTGTGGGCAGGACTCTGGTGCGGCCAGATGAATCCCCACGTTGTAGATAGTGATTCGGCTAGTGGATGGGTGGCCGCTGCGCGACCCAATGCCCGCAGGGCATTGGGCGGCTGTTGCCTCCTTGTGACCTGCGGGTTTCCCACTAACCCTAACTAACCCTAACTAACCCTAACTAACCCTAACTCCTCGGAGTTTGGGCGGTGTTAGGAGTTTACGGGGTTAACGGGGATAGGGAGATATGTCAGCATGACGTGTGTCGGCGTTAACGGCCTAACGTTACGCCGAATCGGCGATAAGACGCGGCGGGACTTTGGCCCGCAACCTAACCCTAGGTAACCCTAGGTAACCCTAGGGTCACGCGCTCTCACTCGATGTCTGGCGGTATTCTTATATATACCGCCCTCGCTACTGGCACTGAAGAGCTCATCATCAAAGCGAAACCTGAAGCGATAGCCTGCCTACCTTCTTGTCTGCCTCCTTGACGATTCTCTTCTCGATAGTTTACGTTCCATTTCACCCTAACTAACCCTAACTAACCCTAACTAACCCTAACTAACCCTAACCCTAACCTAACCCTAACCCTAACTGACCCTAACTAACCCTTGTTTGGCCTGTCACCCCAGTTAACCATATCTACCCCTAGCACTAGGTTACTCGAGCTAACACTCAACAGCCCCCCCCCACTATCTCCACTCCAAATATCACAATCATGTTGCCTTTTACCCAAATACCTGACGATGGTGATGCATTCTATTCCTTTTGGCCAACGTATAGCAACGGAATCGGGAATTGTACGGCTACAGTTCTCGCTTAACCGCAGAATCCTATCCTAAGTTGCCCTAGCAGAATGGTTTCTGTACAACCACCAACCGTTACGATGAAATCTTAACGCCCAAAAAATCACCTCACGTCTGCAAACTCACACCGGTGCTTCTGGACAAAATCCGGCCGAATTCAGCTTCAGACCCTAAGTAATTCTCCTTGGAGGAGGCTGTGGATCACACCTTCGGTAAGAGAGTAGACCGAAACCTAACTTTGAGATACGGTGATGTCTTTTAGAAGAAAAGATGCTACATCCCAAATCACCGAGAGCTCAAACCAAAAATCATGAACGCCCTACATGATTCGAAGCCCACAAGCCACTTGGCTCAATTCAAAACTGCAGAGCATCTTCGGGCACTGTTCTTTTGCCCAAAGATGGACAATGATATGGGAGAATACGTACGGAGTTGCGATACATGTCAAAGCAATAAAAGCTCCAGTCATGAAAAGTACAGGATGCTACCACATTTAGAGGTCCCCAATACTCCTTGTAGCTCCATTTCTATGGACTTTTTTGTTAGTTTGCCAGAATCTGAAGCCTATACCCGTATCGCGTTTATTATTGAATGCTTTACAAAAATCACCTACTTCATACCGCTCAAGACCGAGGCAACAATCAAGGAACTTTCGCATATATTCCTTCAAGAAATATGGCGACTACATGGACTATCCGAAGTAATCATTTCTGATCGGGACTTCAGATTCGAAAGCAAGTTCTGGCATTCATTGATCAAGCTTCTCGGAGTCAACCTTTGTCTGTCTACGACATATCGTCCTCAAGCTAACAGGTGAACTGAGAGGGTCAATCAAACGCTAGAGCAATATTTCAGAAACATTTGGTCCTACCAGTAGGATGATTGGGCAGGGTTACTCCCGCTTGCAGAGTACGCCTACAAAACCGCAACCCAATAGTCCACTAAAGTATCCAAGTTCTACGCGAACTATGGGTTCGAGCCTGATTTCCATTGGCATTCGCTCAGAAGGAAGCTGGACAATGCCAATATTTCCAGCGCCGTACTAGAGTCCAAGTGGAAAGCTCTTTGGAAAACTATGACGACTGATATTTTTAAGGCACAGGCCCGGCAGAAGAAATGGTATGATCAGAAGCATATGAAAACTCCAGAACCTGAAGATGGCGATAAGGTGATGATGGACCGACGTAATATGGTTGCCAATCGACCCTCAAGCAAGCTTGACTACAAGAAACTATATCTCTTTGAGATTGATGAGAAACTTGTTGTTGCGTTCTACAGGCTGAAGCTTCCCTCTCAATGGAACATTCATGATGACTTCCAAATATTTCTGCTGGAGTCCTATCGGGGACTGAAATACCCTCAACGCACTGAAGTCCCTCCTACTCCAGATGAGGTCGAAAGAGAATACAGTTACGCTCTCCAAGAAATAGCTAATAGCCGATGGCAACAGGCTGGGCATTAGAAAATGTTTGTAGAGTATCGCATTGTTTGGGAGGGCTATCGTTCGGAAGACTCCTGGGAACCATACGAAATTCTGCAAGGAAGAGCCGATGAGGCCCTGAAAGAATTTCATCAAAAATATCTGCAAAAACATTGGAAAATATGCTGAAACTCTAGGGATCCTCAAAACACGGCGTGAGTAGCTCTGTATCCCAGAAGAAATCCGGGAACAGAAATCAACTCTCCTATACCAGGTTTTTCATCGGTCTGACAGAGCTCGGATACCATCTTTCCATGGAAACAATGCAAGAAATAATACAAAACAGAAGCGTGAGGAAACCCGCTTGAAAAAGACAAGGGAATAAAAGAGATTCTTGCTTACATCGAAACCTCCACTAGTGGAATGGAATGTTCTACAACAAGAGTGGAGAATATATCATTTTCTTTATTTTTAAAAGGAATTTCATTTTAGAGTTTTCCTTCTCTGATGGAGATAGAAACAGACCTGTACTCTGTACGTAATCACCAATAGAGCTACAGTTTTTTTTCTATGCCAAATACTAATATTCCAGTAACACTACAGTGGACTCAAAACGAGTCTACCATATGGGGGAGTAATGTAACAGTGTCACTATAAGGCTGTTACAAAAGAACCTATTCTATCAGTTAAGCCACCGACCATAAGTAACAGCAGTTTGTTCTTCATCGACGTGTGAAGACAAGCGCAGTTGGGGCTCGTACCTTTCTTCGTATAGAGGACAGGGATCTCAATGAGTAAGAAGTCTTACAAGTCAAAAATAGGGGGCTGAGCAAGCCTGGAACAGAAGTACAAAGATGGCTGATAGCACAGGGAGCCCAGGACGGGAGTTCCCTACCTATGCAGTCGAATCATTGAGGTTTCATATCTCTGCAACCGATGCTCAAAGATCATGCTTTAGCACTACAGACATGATTCTGGTGGTGTCCCGGAGCGAATGGAAAATCTAATTCCAAAAACATGTTTTAATCCCCAACACTAACCCCCGCAGTGTCAAACTGCCGGAATGCTCCTGTTTTGCTCCGGAGTATCTTTGGGGAGTGGGAGTGTGACTCAAGCTACCAAAGCAAAACTTCGATTTACAAACACTCAAATCGGTTCTAATAAAGTTAGAATAAACAATTATTATCTGGTCGGCTGTTTCCAATAGTTTTTAAGATTCCGACCACAGCTTTTAGCAAATTGCATGATTTGACTCGGACAGAAGTTCATTCAAGGTGTCGTAGTTACTCTCCTCTCCCTTGATAAAAAATAGTTGCTGTACCCCCGACTATCAACAGGCAGATTGTCAGTCGGAAAAAGAACTTGAGCAAACGTGCCGTATTCCTATAAGGCACTCGGTGTTGCCCCAGGTTGGCCTCTCATCATCAACGGATCTTTAATAGAGAGGTGACCCATTAAAGTTATAATTTTCTAGACTTGGGAACGTTCAAACATACAAACTGCCATTTTCTTCTTTCTGAACGAGTATCATCAAAACTCGCTCTCTTTATTTACACTATTGGAAAGGAAGTCACGGTTGTGCCTCATCATAGCACATCACTTACATGTGGTTGTCGATCGTCACTGACATGGTCGTATATGCTTCCACCATATTGGGTCTGTCCGTTCGATATGTCATGACGTCTCAAAAGTTGTCCGACAATCTTTCCGGCAATTCGTCAATCTTGACTCCTTTGTTGTAATACAAGTGGGACACGTTTCTGATGAACTGTGAGTAGTAGGTGGCAAAGTCTCCTTTGCCTTGCCTCACGGAGACGAGTTGGCGGTGGTTGGTACTTTGAGTGTTTAGTTCTCTAAATGAGCCTTCCATGTGGGCGACGAAGAAGGTGACGGAGGAAAAGAAGTCAGCAGGATTGGGGTTAACAAGTTGTATGACCTGATCAAGGGCTCTTCCCTCCAAACAGGTGACCGCATGCATAACCTTTGCTGTCCCATTGCGGAACCGATTATGCTTGACTTCGAGCTTCATTCGGAGTTGGGTAACAAATCCGGGGATTTTGGTCTGGATATCATCGAACTTTTCAGGGAACGTTTCAGACCCAAAGGTGGAGAAAGTGGTTGGTGCAGTAGCAGCAAAAACGGGGACAGGAACTTTGGGGGCAGGGGCGGTGTTGTCAACAGTGAGGTCAAGGTTGACCTGTATTACTTGCTCTTCCAGGTAGTCAATGGTTTTGTGGACGGCGGAGAGCAGTGTACGAGCACTATCCCTCTCGTGTCGGATGCTTTAAAACATAGTAGGGAGGTGGTCAAACAGGGCAGCAGTATTCTATTCGTACTGATGGTTAAACTGCTCGATTTTGTTAAATGAGATCCATGTAGGTCGGTTGAGGGTGGACATGGCGTATGGTGCGGATTACGACGCAACGTAATCCTAGGGAGTTGGGTAGCGAGTATTCCGCAGGGTAC